TCCATAGACATGAAGCTCTAGACAATCGACAAATTCTTCTTATGATCCTTGATCTAGAAAACATGTGTCAATTCTTCCGAGTACTTCACATCTAACTGCTTGTATAACCACACTCTTGCATCTGACAACATCTTTACACTATTTCTAGTGATCGGAATGCCATCCACGAGGTAGGTAGGCCGAGCATAGTCATAGACGGCCGCATATTGCGGCCGCCAATAGTCAAGGCCTACCTATCCGGTCGGTTGTAATCGAGCGCGGACGCAATAATCGGTTGGCAAACATACCTCATTGTCGGACATTTTCTCACCGAAAAACGCCTGATATCAAAGAATTTATGATTTTTTGATTTTTTTGGCAAAGTATCAGGGACAAAATGGTCTAGGAGGACGGTACGTATGAATAGGGGGCGGTGTTTAGTAACACCCATTTTAAATTCAGGTAGGAATTCTCTTTGTTTAAAATAATGAATGTGAACATTGTGGTTGCTCTTAAATAAGTGAAATGAATAAAATTGTCATGGATGTTCTTTTTTTGTACATCGGCTAACTCGACCCTACATGTACAAGCAGTATCGTCATAAAATATTTTACCATTGTATTAACACTTATTCATGGCATGTGTTTGCATGTGTTGATCCAAAATTAAAAATTGGGTTACTGCATGTCACCTGAAAGTTGAAATGTACTGTGTACATCATTCATGTTGAAAGAATTAAAACCTATAAATCTTTTTTTTTTTCTTTTCCAGAAAACATAATATCATTAACACTCAAGATATACATTCGAGTAATCAACTGATTACAAGTTCACGGGAATGACACATCACATGTCTCCCTCCAAAGCCAACATGGCCAAACTATTACACCTAGAGCATACAGAACCAAAAGAAAAAGAACACAAAGACAACCGAGACTTAAGAGCCTGCACATCTGCTATGACATTACATACAGAAGAGGGAAAAACATCATTTTGTTTAACTTATGTATCAGCTCCTTAGAGTTTAGAATGCAAATGAGTTTATCCCATCCCCTCCCTGCAGCTTCCCTCCAATTGTCATCTAACAGCCAAAAGCATTGCCACCTCTTCATACTCTGCCCATTCAAATCTTGTACTGCCTGCAAATACTTCATTCTAATCCCTGACACCCACTCCTCCAATTCCTATCTTACCAGAAGAAGAAGTTAAGGCACTGACAGTGAACATCACTAGTCCTACCCTCTTGAAAAATCCTTCTTCTCCTTGCAAAGTATGCTGCTTTTCAGCTCCACTACTCTGACTGCCATCCTGTATTCACTACTTCCAATTCATCAAACTATTCCTCTGGAAACATCAATTTGTTTCTGGTATACAGATAATGTGAGTCTGTCCTTCAATAATCTGCCTGTGTGCTTACCATTCACTTCCCACCACCAATCTTTTATGTTAGCCCATGTTCTTTGAAACACCTCCCAGTCAATTCCCAGCAGCTTCCAACAATTTTGTTCCTTATGACAACTGAGAAAAAGATGATCCACATCCTCCTGCTGCTCTTCACAGATCCTACACATTGCATCAATTTGGAATCCTCTCTTCACCAGTTGTGAGTTTGTGCTGAGGAACCCATGATACACTCTCCACATAAAGTTCCTAAGCTTTGGTTCACTGGAAGCTTCCATTTGTCTCCCACATTCTTTTGAGATGCTGGTTATTTGAACTTGATCCTGCCTGCTTCAGATTTCCAACATTGAGTTTTTTGAGGGTTTGATATGCAGCTTTGACTGAAAAGAGACCTTTTGGATCCCCATTCCATATCAACATGTCCCTATTTGCTGTATGACTCAAGTGAATTTGAAGAATTGCTTTAGCTTCAAAAGGGTTAAAATTTTGGTAGATCAACTCCTTATCCCACTCTCTCTTTCCCCTCACCATCAACTCACTCACTACAGAAATTTTCCCCTTATCCATCTCAAACCGATAACTAGGAATAAATTTATCTAATGTAGGCACCCAAGGAGAGTCCCATACTGGAATAGTAAGCCCATCCCCTACCTGGTATCTCACACCCTTCTTAAAATCCTCTATAACACTCATCCAACCTTTCCACAACCAAGAATCTGTATTTTTCAGCTTCACATTAAACAAGTTATCATTATGAAAATACTTACCTTTAAGCACCCTGCTAAGAAGCAGGTTTGGTTGTGTAATCTGTCTCCACAACTGTTTCATGATTAAAACTGCAAAAGGAACCAAATTCCTAAACCCCAACCCTCCATCTTTCTTATCCCTAGCTAACACCTCCCCCCCAGCCCAATGAATTTTATCATTTCCCTGCACATTTTTACCCCAATAAAATGAGGCTATAGATCTAGCCATATCCTGACACACTGCAATTGGCAATTTAAAACAGGCCATCACATAAACAGGAAGAGAGTTCAACATAGTTTTAAGTAAGGTTTCTCTCCCTGCTTCACTCAGAAAGGAGTTTTTCCATTGATTCACTCTTTTTTTTTTATAGTCTCACTAATATATCTGAAGGTCTCTCTTTTGGACTTGTTTAAACCTAGAGGCAGACCTAGGTATTTTGCTGAAGAGACACAAGAAATGCCATTAAGAACCGTACAGATATGGAGCCTATCAGACTCAAGAGTATTCTTGGAGAAAAACACTGAGGATTTAGCAAGATTCACAGCCTGACCTGAAGACACACCATACTCATGCAGAATTTGCATTAACCCCATAGCCTGCTGAACAGATGCTTTACAAAATAACATAGTATCATCAGCAAAAAACAAATGAGTTAACATAGGAGAAAACTTACTAATCCTAATCCCCACCAGACTCTGATTAATACTGGCTTGCTTTAACAAATTTGAGAAGGCTTCTGATAAAATGATGAACATATAAGGGGACAGCGGGTCCCCTTGTCTCAAACCCCTAGAAGGCACCACTGATCCTAGCACTTGTCCCTGGATTTTAAAAGAAAATGAAGCAGACCGCACACAAGCCATAATCCATGCTAAGAATTTAGAACAAATACCCATTTGATGACAAACCCTAGTTAGAAACCCCTATTCTACCCTGTCATAGCTTTAGACATGTCTAACTTAACTTACATATAACCATCTTTCTCTTGTCTTTTACTATTTAAGAAGTGAATACACTCATTTGCAAGAATGGCATTATCTATGATTTGCCTCCCAGGAATAAAAGCTGACTGAGTGGGGGATATGCAAGCATGAAGAATTGATTCAAGCCTATTTGCCAAATTTTTTGCAATGATTCTATAAGTGACTGTGCACAGGCTAATAGGCCTAAAATCAAACACACAAGAGGCATGATTTTTCTTAAGAATCAAGGATATGACTGCATGATTAGTCTGCTTAGGAAGCTTACAATACTGGAAGAAATTCCAATTGCTGCACACAGATGATGCTTCACAGTGGGCCAGGATTGTTGAAAAAAAGCCGATGACATCCCATCTACCCCCGGGGCTTTATTTGCATTCATCTCCATTACAGCTTGTTTCACCTCTTCTTCTTCTACATGTTTGATAAGCAGTGCATTCATCTCTTCTGTAATTGTAACAGGAATCCCTTGTAGGCTACAACTCTCCACCTGTGGGTTAGATGATGTAAACAGCATATCAAAATAATTTTGAACTTCATCCACTGTTTCCTGAATATTGGTACACTTTCTTCCCTGAGAGTTCACTAGATTTTCCAAGCTATTCAGTTGATTTCTATGTTTAACAGTAGCTTGAAAAAATTTGGTGTTTCTGTCTCTTTCCTTTAGCCAAGATATTCTAGACTTAACTTTCCAGTAGACCTCCTCATCCTTATAAGCCTGATTCAGAGTGGCTTTATATGTATGCCAGTCACCCCAATTTCTATCACCCCTTGACAACTTAGGTCCTGCAACTTCTTTTTACAATCTTCAATAATCTTTGCAGAATTACTTCTAATTGTTGGTTTTCACTGCTGAATAGCTATCCTCACATTTTTTATCCTCTTTTGCAACCCTACCATGGCAGGTCCACTCACCTTAGAATCCCAAGCTTTCTTTACCAACTCCTAACATCCTTCATGCTTGATCCATCTAGGGTCAAAAGAGAACCTTGTTTTTTCTTTCTCCAACTGAGGGTTTTGGACTAATAGTAGTAGACTATGGTCAGAAGATGTGAGAGGAATATGATTAACCAAAGCATTTGGAGATTGGAGTGCCCAACTAGGTGAAAGGAAGAACTTATCTAATTTCTGTTCTACAAAATCTTTACCTTGCCTAAGGTTAAACCAAGTAAAAGGGTGACAAATAGTATTAGGTTCTACCCCATCTATTCCCCTCACAAAATTCCTAAACTCAGTGAAACTAGACTCCTTTCTGATCAGCCCCCCTTGCTTCTCAGAGTTACTCAAAAGATCATTAAAATTTCCCCCAATAAACCACATATCCCCCCACAAAAGCCTATGTCTAAGCAAAAAATCCCAGTGCAACAATCTAATGGTATTATCAGTATTTGCATAGATAAAAATTGCCCATTGAGCATTGTTGCACCCTATAAACTGAAATTGAACTTCCATACAGAAGTCAACACAATGAATTTGCAAAATAGTAATTTTAGAAGACCAACAAATAAATAAACCCCCTCTACTACATACAAGATCAACACAAGCCCATCTATCTCCTAACTTAAGCTTATTAGCTACTGTAGACACAAAATTATTCTTCTTTTTTGTTTCTGACAAAAAGAGAAAATCTGGGAGGTGAGATCTTAAGATCTCTCTGGTTTGGGAAATTGTAGAGGGTCCTCCCAGACCTCTACAATTCTACACACATACCTTCATTTGGGGGTTGGGGGCCAATTAGGGTTCTCCTCCCCATGACTTCTTTACCTTTCCCACTTCCTCTAAGTCTTTTGGCTATACTCTCAGAAGTCCTCTCCTCAACCTCTTGAGAAATCAGACTTCTTTTTAGACTCTGCTTGCCCTCAGGTTCCTTAAAACACACACCTTGACTATCTACCTACATACTCACTTCCCCAGGGGCTTTAGAACCTCTAGGTTTCCTCACAAATCCCCTTTGACTCTTTTTCCCACCTGTACTCGTTGGATCAGTTTGCACATCAACTTCCACAAGATTACTAAGTGTAATATGAGGTGTTGACTTGGGTGGCAAAGTTTCAGAGACATTAGAGCTACCTACTATCACAGATTGCTCAACAGTCTTTTGCCCCTCTACATTATTAGTAGTGGACAAAGCTACAGCCCTTTGTCCCCCTCCCCCATCTAATTTGCTAGAAGATCCCACAGATTTACCTTCCAACTTGCTCTCCCCTCTCTCTGGTGTTTGACTTTGGGTTTTAGTAAACTTGCTCCCTGAAGGTTGACTATCACTGGAGCTAGTTTTATTACCCCTTCCCTCATTAGTACTACTCACAGGGGCCCTAATCCAATCTTCAAATTGCCCTAGATGCAATACATTTCTAATCACATCTTCCTTTCTAATCTGATAGTTCCTATCACCATGTCCTATCCTTCCACAATAAAAACAGAAACTTTGAAGGTGCTCATACCTGAAATCCACCCATGTTGATTCTTTGCCCAACATGATTTTAGCACCTCTGAGGAGAGGGTCTTTCAGCTTCTACTCAACAAGGACTTTTATGATTCTGCCTTGATTGATCCCTGAACTCTAGACTAAAACATCGTGTACTTTACCAATAAGCCTCCCAACTTTAAACCCCACCTCAGCTGTACCCACAGCTTAACCACTTCTTCTTCTTCCACAAACTCAGTCTGCTTGGGGTCCTAGGCCTTCAAGAGGAAGTACTGCCCCATCGAAAGTCCATGTTTTCCCCTGTAGTATTTTCACCTTATCCTCCTCACATCCAAAGATAAACTGAAATATGTTGTCGTCCAAATTACGAATTGTAACCGGTGACTTTGTAACCCAGATACTACCCAGAGTAGCCTTTAACCCTCCAAAGTTTACCTTCCTTTCTCCATAAACTTTACCTATCAGACTCAAATGACAATCTTGCACCCCAATCGCAACATCCTCATCCAATAGTGCAACCCCGATTTCCTCTTTTTCAGAAAGAACAAACCGTTGTAGTTTTGCAGCCACCTCGTCAGCCATCGAGCAGTCTTTCTAAACCCTTTATCAACTGTACCACAACACTGTAGCAACAATTGAAAGGGATCGAACAAGCACAAGGAAAACAAAGCAAATAGATAACACAGAGCAAAGATGAACATGTTACGAAATAAAACAAGAAACAATAGCAGAAGAATGAACAATATAGAGATCAGGGAACACAATCGCAACTGAAAACACTAGAAAAACGACTCAAAAACCCTAAAAAACCCCATCCTACTCGAGGAACTCAAGACTCAAAAGAGAGACCAAACCCTAAAACGGAACTCCATTTAAATCTTGGAAAAGAATATTCATAATGGGAGAAACAATCTAGCGCCACTAAATGCCAAGGACACTAGAAAGCATGCATATCTTTTGCTGTCATGTCAACATACATATCCATTGCATCAAAAATATTTGTACCTTTGTTTTATTGTACCTTTTGTTTTCCGCTCAAAGATTATAAATTGAAATACTGAAACTTCATATACATTACTCCATCGATCATTTTGTTAGTCGGTGTTAATTCAAAAAAATACAAGAAGCCACTATGGAATTAATAATTCGAACGGTTTGGTCCGAAATACGTTCTTCACAAACCAATTATACTCGAAAGGCGATATTTTATCATTTCCAACACACTTTTTTTTTAAATGAATAAACTGTTAAGCTGATCAACGGTTATACTTTTTCCCAACAAAAAATAATAAAATAACTATATTATGAATAAATTTATTTTTATTTATGCTGTTTTTAAAGATATGATACAAATAGTACAAAAACAAATTTGAAGTAGTCCAAATATATCTCATCAACAATTTGCAGTCTCCCAATCTAGTCATACAACTCATACTTTTATAGCACGTATTTCATCCCTGTACACCCACAATGTATTTATATGATTTTTTTTTTTTATTTTTTATTTTTTTTTTCACAAACNGAGAAAAAAAAAACCCAGAAAAACAAAAGCAATATAGTAGTAAAGCAATTGGATAAACGGTAATATATGATGAAGTAATTTATTTACTGAGGGCAGAGACCTCGCTCCTCTGCGAAGGGCTCCTCCAGAAACCGGCGCTGTAAAACTGGTCCCACATCTCCTTCTCTAACTCCGCCATCTCCTTACCCTCATCCGACGCCGCCAGCGGGCTCATCACAGGGTGCACGTGCACCTCCTTCTCTTCGCACCCGCACTTGATCCGCCCCGCCGGCAGCAGCCCCTCCTTCATCAGCTTCCGCCGCCGCTTCCTCCTCAGCGCCTTCCGGCACAGCCCAGCCGGCACCTTGTACACCACCAGCACCAGCAGGTTCGCCAGCCCGCACGGGCAGCAGCAGCACACCGCCGCGCACTCCGCCACCGTCCCCCCGGCCACCTCCGCCGCCCTCCGTGACGAGCACTCCGTCCCCTGCAGCAGCTGACGCCGGTCCGCCGCCGTCGACGCCACCGGCCGCAGCACGATTTGCCTCGTCATTTGCTCGATCTGAATTTTTTACTCTTAACCTAATTTCTCCAATCGAAATTCCTCCCCCTAATTATTTCTTCAAAAAATCGATTGACCGCGAAACTTCCCCGCCAGGAATTAGAATAAAACCACCCGTTATAGATTTGGTGTATTTCTGAATTCGATAATTTCCGATTCGAATCGGGATTGTTACCTGAAATTATTCAACTGATCTCGAAATATAATGTGCAGGGTGAGAGAGCGTGACATTTCCCGGCGGTGGCGTGCGGTGAGAGGGCAGTGGTCGGTGGCCACTGGCGGAGGAAGAAGAAGAATCTCCGAGTACGATTTTGTTTGTTCCTCTTCCCCGATTATGGAGGAGATTTTATCAAGAAAAGAAAGAAAACTCACTGTTGGTTGTTGACGAATTCAAATTTGATTTAATGGCAGCCCTTCTTTTCAGCTCAGCTTTTTATTTTATTTTTTATTTTTTCAAAAGTAATTAAGTATTTATTTTATATGTAGAAAAAGCAATATGGTTAGGAACTTACAAGAACAAAAATGGAGGTGGAGTGGATTGTCCGAGTGAAAGAGTCAAATTTATTAAAGACTGGATAAGTAATGGCAGTGCTACAATATATTCCTTTTTTAGATGTGTATGCTCATAAAATAAAATGTTGAATATGTTTCAATAATGTCTATAAAAGTGTCCCCACAAAAAAATGAATGAATGTATTTCTCTATTGATTTTTTATTAAAAAATATAGAGACTATTATTGTTGGTTATGTGTAGGACATAAAGAAACAAGTTTACGTGGATGCATATTAGTTGTAAGAGCAAAGACAATATAAGTCATGATATTATTGATGTAGGTCTTATTTGGTAATCAGCTGTTAGTTGATTATATTAGCTGTTTTGACCATAAATTGCATTAGCTGTTTTGATCAGTTGATCGTGTTAGCGGTTTGTAAAAAAGTGTTTGATAAAATTAACTTTTTTAATTAGTTGTTAACATGTAAAATTACTTATAAGGACATCTACATACTTTATCATTCTAATTTATGTTGAACTTATAAATATTTGAAAAATAGAAATAGTTAATATTTTAAATATTTATTAAAATGATTTAAATATGATAAAAAATATAAATAATAATAAAATAAAAATATTTCATAATCGAGTAAATAAGTTCACGCCATATAAACAAAGCCAACAACAACTCATACTAATAGAAAATATAAATGTGGTTCATAGAAAATATAAATGTGGTTCAATTGCAATATTTGCTATTATAATTAAAAACTAAAAAATAAAAGAAAAGAAAAAAAAACAAATGCTCTAAGAACGACATCTGTATGCCATCAAATTTGAAGCTATATCATTACGAACGTTTGCTATCTCCCTAGTTCTCATTTCCCCATCACCTTGTGCAGAATTATTTTCAACATCGTGGAACACATAAGGAGGTATGAATTCAGAATTCACATCAATAACACTAAAGCCCGGGATCACCAATTGTGCTTCTTCTGATATAATTATGAAGTGCAAAACATGAACAAATGATTCTATTTTGATCCATTAACGGATAACTCGACATTTTATGCAGTATCTTCCATCGATCCTTAAGAACGCGAAAAGCCCTTTCAATGCAACTTCTTAAAAATGAATGAGCGAGCCTGATTAAAAACTTCTTGAGATCCCCTCGGGTTTGAACTACGAAACTCATACTGATGATATCTTGTCTTGGTGTAAGGCGTTAAATAACCTTCTCTTTTTGGGTAGCCTTAGTCTACCAAGTAATATTTACCTAAACGTACACAAATTATACTAGAATTAAATAATATCAAAGGTGTGTGTATGTGTGTGTATGTGTGTGTGTGTGTGTGTGCAACAGTGCATATCAATGATAAGTACAAGATATCTGATGGAGGTTTCAGAAAATTGAGATTTAGATCATTGATCGTATCAAGGAAAATACGAGAATCATGTGTTGATCCCTCCCATCCTATTAAAACGTATGTGAACAACAAATCAAAATCACACACTGCTAAAACATTTGTAGTCGGTATCCCTTTTCTTCCCCTGTAACGAATTTGATTCTCTTCACGCACGGTTATCGCAATATGTGTACCATGAATAGCTAAAATACAATCCTAATGACATAATAAAAGTTATATTATCATCATCTTCAATAGAGAAAAAAAAAAAAAAATGAGAAAGCAACAAAAATGTTACCTAAAATGTGGAATATATCTCCCATTATTGGAAATATGTGTTGGAATATCCTTGAGCTCGAGATCTTTCGGTACAAGTATATTTCTTGAAAAGCTATCCATAGAATCTAAAACTTGTTTGAAAATTATACTCACGATTTCGCCAGAATGTTGAAAGCGCACTTGAGTATCTCTATTAGAAGCACCCTTACTAAGTACATATACAAATATGGATTAGATTCATGGCTGCCTTCATAAAATCACCACAAACTTTCAAAGATTATGGAATTTTCACTTTGAAAGCAGCAGACCATTTGAGTAAATAAATGAGTGGAAAAGTATACATAAATAGAAAGAGACCAACAAAGGA